CCACCCTCACAATTAAGATTGCTGGTGATACTGCTTCTACAACCAAAACCTCAACTAGTACAACCAATACAACCAATCTTACTATTAATATTGCTGGTGATACTGCTTCTACAATCAAAACCAGTGCTATTAAAAACACCTTCACCATTAATATTTTGCTAGTGATACTGCTTGTCCAACCATAACCAGTACTAATACAACCATCCTCATCATTAATAATGTTGTTGATACTGCTTCTACAACCAAAGTAACGGCTATACCAACCATCCTCACCATTAATGTTGCTAATGATACTGCTTCTACAACCAAAACCACCCACGACTATTACAAGCACCCACGACTATTACAACCACCCTCACAATTAAGATTGCTGGTGATACTGCTTCTACAACCAAAGTCACGGCTATACCAACCATCCTCACCATCCCTATTGCTAATGATACTGCTTCTACAACCAAAACCATGACTATTGCAACCAATCTCACCATTAATATTGCCACTGATACTGCTTCTACAACCAAAACCACCCACGAATATTACAACCACCCACGACTATTACAACCGCCCTCACAATTAATATTGCTGGTGATACTTCTTCCCCAACCAAACCCACGACTATTGCAACCAATCTCACCATTGATATTGCTAATGATACTGCTTCTACAACCAAAACCACCCACGAATATTACAACCACCCTCACAATTAATATTGCTGGTGATACTTCTTCTACAACCAAAACCACGACTATTGCAACCAATCTCACCATTAATATTGCCAGTGATACTGCTTCTACAACCAAAACCACGACTATTGCAACCAATCTCACCATTGATATTGCTAATGATACTGCTTCTACAACCAAAACCACGACTATTGCAACCAATCTCACCATTAATATTGCTAGTGATACTGCTTCTACAACCAAAACCACGACTATTGCAACCAATCTCACCATTAATATTGCTAGTGATACTGCTTCTACAACCAAAACCACGACTATTGCAACCAATCTCACCATTAATATTGCTAGTGATACTGCTTCTACAACCAAAACCACGACTATTGCAACCAATCTCACCATTAATATTGCTAGTGATACTGCTTCTTCAACCAAAACCACGACTATTGCAACTAATCTCACCATTAATATTGCTAGTGATACTGCTTCTACAACCATAACCAGTACTATTACAACCACCCTCATCATTAATATTGCTGTTGATACTGCTTCTACAACCAAAGTCACGGCTATACCAACCATCCTCACCATTAATATTGCTAGTGATACTGCTTCTACAACCAAAACCAGTACTATTGCAACCAATCTCACCATTAATATTGCTAGTGATACTGCTTCTACAACCAAAACCACGACTATTGCAACCAATTTCACCATTAATATTGCTAGTGATACTGCTTCTACAACCAAAACCACGACTATTGCAACCAATCTCACTATTAATATTGCTAGTGATGCTGCTTCTACAACCAAAACCACGACTATTGCAACCAATCTCACCATTAATATTGCTAGTGATACTGCTTCTACAACCAAAACCAGAACTATTAAAACCACCCTCACGATTAATATTGCTAGTGATACTGCTTCTAAAACCAAACAAAACCACGACTATTACAACCACCCTCACCATTAATGTTGCTGGTGATACTGCTTCTACAACCAAAACCACGACTATTGCAACCAATCTCACCATTAATACTGCTAGTGATACTGCTTCTACAACAAAACAAAACCACGACTATTACATTCACCCTCACCATTGATATTGCTGGTGATACTGCCTCTTCAACCAAAATCACGACTATTACAACCACCCTCACCATTAATATTGCTGGTGATACTGCCTCTTCAACCAAAATCACGGCTATTACAACCACTTTGCCATTAATATTGCTTGTGATACTATTTCTACAAAAGCCACGACTTTCATGAATTCTTCTGCATAAAATCACATGCAAAGCTTGAAAAAGAACATATGTCTGATTTGTTTTATGAAAATTCGTGCTAAATGACTTAACGCCATTTTGTTGAATACTCAATATTAATTGAAGTTTTATCGAATGAAGTTATTAGGAAATACCCGTAACTTTTCTTACACTTTAGAGGATATTGTTTTTTATAAATTAGGCACAAACATGTATTTTAATTGTTGAACTATAAATGTGAGTGTGTGGTGTAGAGCACAGCGTATTAAAAAGGGATGTAAAGAGGAGGGAAATAGAATAATTATGTTCATTGAAACAAAAATCTAGTCCTAGACTATAAGCATATTCAGCCATATCTTTACAAAATCAAAATCAAATACGAAAACAGGCCGGTTGCTGAATAGGTTGTATGTATATTAAATGGAGGATTTCAATTTTACTTTTGAGGTAAAACCATGGTGAGTAAAAAATTATTGGAGATGGTGGAAAAAGGTATCGTTATGTTTACAGATGGTGGTCATGGTTGTGCAAATGACAAACAGTCCTACACGGTATCGCCTAGTATAACTACAAACGAGACAAAATGTTGGGGTCAATTACTAGAAATCAAGTGGAAACAATGACGGTAACGGAGAGAGAAAATATGGGATGTAAATAAACGGAGCAACGTAATATAACGGATGTAGAAGATAGTGTAATAACAGACGCCTCATGGAAGTGATTATAGTGGAGGTGAGAGTGTAAAGGTCAACCAGGATAATTATGACTACATAACATCGGAGTCCCTCGGGGTAGTTCCAGTCTAGTGAAAGCCGGTTATTAAAGAAACTAAGTGGTTTACGAAAGACCTATAGAAACACAGATTAATTTGAATGTTAACACAGAACAAGAAATTTGCCTCGGGTAATTTCCTTTGTAATTAACGGTTTCAAAGGGAATGGCATAGATACAATGGCTACTGTGTTCTTATCGAAAGGACAATGTCACACATGAATATTAAATAGCATCTAGTTGGAATAAGGAACACACTTGAAAAACATGTTTAAATATTATTCATAATCAGCTTTCGGCAAAAGCTTCTTTTTTTTTTTAATTTGAACGCTAAAAAAATACAAAAAAAGCAACTAAATCGGAACTCTTTTATATAAGTTTTACTGTACAGTGGATATAAGCTGCATGTGATGTACAGAAGTTGTACCCATCTGGTTAAGTTGTGACTATTGTGTTGTTGTATACGTTACTTCCTCCTTTAACAATCTAAGAGATGTTTGTAGGTATCTCTCTATTCCCGTCTTTCGTCCTACATTACCTCTCACTTTATACAATATTGAAATATGTTGTTTTTGTCATTTGTTGTCATTTGTTGCCATTTGTTGTCATTTGTATGCATTGTTGTGATTATTTTCTTGTGTTGCTCATCGAACTTTCTATCAGAGAAACATATTTGAAGAAGTCTCCTGACTTGTTAAAGGAGTTTTTCACATTTTTGAACGTTATATTATATATTTGTTCCGTGGCAATACTGATATAATATGTTTAGGCTGAAATGGTATTCCATGATAGATGTATTATCAATACCTCAAACAACAGGTTATCTCCATAGAATTAATGATAAATTAAGTGAATTATTAAATAAACAATACGACAATGTAACCAATAACGAAATTAATGACATTGTAAATTCAATTAGTGAATTGTTCAAAGGCTCTGCTAAGCAGGTTTTAGGTAGCAACAATGCTTACAGGAAAAAGAGGTTGAGGTGTGATAATAAGCCTTGGTTTAATAGGGAATGCCACTTAAACAGAGTTGAATTTAATAAAGCCAATGCCATATTTCACAAAGTAAATAATTTTATAAATAAAACTAATCACAATAGAGCTAGTAAAGTTTATAGAAAATACATTATAACAAAAGTTACAGAAATTATCAGGAGAAATTGTCAAACGAGTTAAGATATACTGCTAGAATGGATTCAAAACAATTCTGCAATATTTTGAATAAATGTGACGGATCTGTAAAGAAAGGTAATGCTGATATATGTATTACTGAATTATATAAATACTTTAAGGATCTGAACAAGTCTGTTCATGATGATGACGATTTTGAGCTGAAAAATCATGATAATAGTATTTTTAATGATTATCTGAATGGTGAAATCACCGCTGATGAAATAAAAATTTCTTTAATCGATTTAAAAATAGTAAAGCCTCTGGTATAGATCAAATCTTAAATGACTATCTAAAAAGTACAATGGATGGATTGTTACCTATTTATCAAAGAATATTTAACCTTATTTTGAATACTGCGTCTATACCAGATGCGTGGGAGATTGGTATTATAAAACCAGTATATAAAAACAAAGGCGATCCCAAAGATCCGGATAATTATAGAGCGATCACTTTGGTCTAGTGCCTCGGCAAAGTGTTCACTTCGGTTATCAATAATAAAATAGAGAGAAACATATACCAAAATATTATTTTACTGATCCGAGTCAAATAAAAATGCAAGGATTGTAGATTCCTAGTAAAGCTTGACAAAGTATTAACTTAATTTCTGTACAAGGTTGTGTTCCTTCTCTATGTAACTATGTCAATGTTGTAACTGTGTACTTATCATCACACGTCATGTATCATATTTACTATAGGTGTGTGACCTCTTGTTACAACTTCACATCCAGACAAACAGGAACAAAGGAAGACATAAATGGCATTCAACACATACAGTAAATAAAATTATAATTGTCTGGCTATATATATTTCCGTTTTGTATACCGTATAACGGGATATTTACTCGGGCTTAAATTGAGACGTTTTGACCAACAATATAAAATGTAAGGCACACGGATCATACTTCCGCATTCAAGTTATTGACCCGCAAAATCGAGAAAATATCATCCCCACAGATATATCCTGGTATACGGTATTACTCCATCAAATACCTATCATCAATCATAAAAAATATACGTTCATTACAATCGATTTTTTGATTAAGGTGTACAATGTAAAGATAACAATGTAAGAATCAACCACTTTGAAATAATAAACAAACCTACCCTGAGTAAATCACAAACCCGATTCCTACGATCTTCTCCTGTTGTAAATTCATACAGACGGAGTACACGATTGGGTATATAACATCGAGCCAGTCACACTAAAAGGGCACCGCTCACTATTTCAATTACATCTCGTAACACAGATAAAGACATTGCCCTGCAGATATATACATACTGGTAAAATGCAAGTACCTGCGGCCTAGACAGAAACACTTCAATGGACATATACTCTTGAATCAATCTGTTTCGCCATATTGTCTGTTTTTCTTTAACAGTCGTTACCACAGTTTGTTAGAATTGAATCCTGTTATTCTGAGGTCTAAACCTCAATGGATCTTAGTACATATTTTATTAACTGCGAAACACTTTGTATCGTTTATTATCATCGCCCAATGCTACTTGTATCCCATAAAACTCCACAGAACAAAAGTCGATCCTTATTTTATACAGGATTTTTAGATTTGATACCTTTTTAAAATTTCTATCATATCGTACTTGTGCAAGTCTGATACCATCGGAGGCGCTGAGGCAGGCAACATACTGACTAAATGTGTGAAGTTATCGTTGTAACATAACTAGTTAATTAGTATCGATTACGACGTTTCAAAATTTATAACAGGCATGTTTAATTAACTCGGCAACTTTTGAAAAACAAATTGAAATAAATGTATAAATAAGACTACTTCCCGCACGTATATCCTGAGGGATTCATAACAAGTTTATGGAAGAATAGATATCAGACTCTTTAAAAGACAAGAGGCCCAGAGGGTCTGTATCGCTCACCTGTTTCTTTTGTTACATGAAACTGATATATAGGTAACTTCAGAACAAATTTGGTAACTAGAACACAAGAAATTTTAACATCTCATAAACGGTTCTGAAGATACTGTTGATTTAAATTTCAAATTTTAATTTTGAAGCTTTTAACCCACATTGACCTTTGACTCCCGACTTGCACTGAAAGTTGACCTTTGACCTCATTACTGTAATTACAAAAAATATTCGCACTGCTGGTCTACATAACATACTTAAGTATCATGAATCCAGTCCAAATGGTTCTTGAAATATATTTGTTTGAAATTTTTAACATATTTGACCCCTGTGACCTTGAAAGTAGGTCAAGGTAATTTTAATGAGGCAACTGTATAGCACTCCACCCCAGTTACTTACTAGCTAAATATCATTACCCTGAGCGTTATGGAACTTGAGAAGAAGATTGTTAAAGTTTTTAACACATGTTGACATTTGACCACTGACTAGCACTTAAAGTTGACTTTTGACCTCATTACTGTCACTAAGAAAAATATTCGCACTTCTGGTCTTCATAACATACCCCTTTGAAGTAGGTCGCGGTAATTTTAATGAGGAACCTTTATAGCACTCCATCACAGGTACCTACTGGCCAAATATCATGACCCTGGGCCTTATGGAACTTAAGAAGAAGATTGTTAAAGCTTTAAACCCATACTGACCTTTGACCCCTGACTAGAACTTTAAGTTGACCTTTGACCTCATTACTGTAATTGGGAAATCAATTTGCACTGCTGATCTTCATAATATACCCAAGTATCATGACTCTAGTTCAAATGGTTCTTTTGAAATTTTAAACATATTTGACCCCTGTGACATTGAAAGTCGGTCAAGATCATTTTAATGAGGAAACTTAATAGCATACCATCCCAGGTACCAACTGGCCAAATATTATGACCCTGGGCCCTTTGGAACTAAAGGAGAAGATTGTAAAAGCTATTAACCCATGTTGACATTTGACCCCTGACTAGCACTTAAAGTTGACCTTCGACCTCATTACTGTAATTAAGAAAAATATTCGCACTGCTGGTCTACATAACATACCCAAGTACATACCGGCCGCTGCACTGAAAAGTAATATCATAGAGCCAGAGACGTATTATACGTCTCTGATAGTTCACTTGACTTTTTTATTTGTAACGTTTACATGCAAATGTATACGTGTTAGATATATTTGTAAATGTTTTAAAGGACATACGTTATATATCTATACTAGCGGAAAAATGAAACTGTGTATGCGGAGAATTGCTATAGAACATGTATTACCAACTGTATTTACATGCAAATTCACACACATGACCGAGTATGACACATACACACTATCCGTGTGTCATTGACAGTTTTTCCCGTGTGGTTTGCTCTATAGGCGTTGACCAGTTTGCACGTTTTTCTCGTCCAGCCATCCAATTCGACAATGAAAGTTTATTTTTCAACTGTTGGGTCACGCTGTTGAGACCAGTGAACAGTAAAAACAGCATTATAACGTTTTAATTTGTGATTAATGCTATGCCGAGGCTCAATGAAAATGACCGCCTTCGTATTACTTGTATGCTTCAAGCTGGTATGGGCCAAGCCGTTGTGTCTACACGTTTTCATGTCCATCGAAACACAATCCGGGATTTGTGGAGACGACATCAGCAGTTTGGCCACGTCGGCGATCGACCTCGTGCGGGACGTCCACGTGTGACGTCACGTCAACAGCATAACCATATTCGGCTTGTCCATTTTAGCTTCCAAACGGCAAGTTTGACTGCACGGACAATCCCTGGGTTGCTACCAATAAGCCCGAGAACTGTACGGAATCGATTGCGTGAACGAGCTATCCGTCCGCGACGTCCAACTATCCGCCCAGCTCTTCTGCCACGTCATCGTGTAGCACGTCTGGACTGGTGCAGAAGGCATCTGCGATTTACCCGACGGGATGGGGCAGGCATTTTGTTTACGGACGAGTCGCGAGTCCACCAGGATAGTAGTGACGGCCGTTCCAGAGTGTATATCGTCGCGTTGGAGAACGTTTCCGTGACGCGTGTGTGGTACAACGACGTTCTTTCGGCGGAGGCAGCGTTATGATTTGGGGCGGTATCACAGCCAACGGGAGAACGCCTCTGGTGGTTGTTAACGGGAATTTGAACGCGCTACGTTATCGTGACGAGATCCTCCGGACCCACTTCGTTCCATATGTGCAAGGGCAGCAACATCACATTACGCTACAGCAGGACAACGCCAGGTCACACACAGCTCGTGTCGCTATGGACTTTCTGGCCCAGCAAAACGTTGACGTGTTGCCCTGGCCTGCTGTATCCCGATCTGTCGCACATTGAACCCGTCTGGGATGAAATGAAGCGCAGATTACGGGCATTACCTAATCAACCGGTGACGTTGGCTGATTTGGCGGCAACGTTTGTACAGATCTGGAATGCCATCCCACAAGCATTCTTGAACCGTCTGATAGACTCCATGCGTCGACGTTGCCAGGCTTGCATTTAGGCAAACGGTGGGCATACGAGGTATTAATTTGGTGAACTCAGTATTGACCCCTGCTGTGTTTACGTCACTCCTGAGCGGAACGTATTGATTCCATACCTTGGATAATGGAATGCAACTGTTAATAAATAACAAATAAATTGTCCCTGAACACCTTGTTGTTCTACGTCATACAAATTTATTTTTATAACACAATTTAGGCATGCACAGTTTCTTTTTTTCGCTAATATATATCAATTAATTGCCATATTAGACTGTTTCGTTGAGCATATCCACATGCTATTGCGTACACAGGGACTTGACACGTTCCTATGACCTAAACTGAAAAAATACCTTTCATTCTGGGTCATAGGAACGTGTCAAGACCCTGTGAATGCGTTCATATATACAACAAAACGAAATTGTAAGAAAATGCTAAAATTGCATGATTTTTTTTATACCGGCAGCATGTATTTGTTTATAAGTATTTCATTTGCTGTCTTGATAAAAACTAAACAGTTTCGATTGTAACTGCAATATTTATTCAATATTGAACAAAAACTTAATCAAAACGAAAATTAGGTATCATTTTCCGGGGAATGATCTCCATGGATAGGCTCCATCTAGAGTAACACTGCAGCTGACATTCGCGGGTACACAATGTACTATCGGCACACAGGTTATCTAACGTCACTACCCAAATCGGGATACTTTTAAGATAAATATCAATGTTCTTTATACAATACTATACTATCAGTTCCAAAAATGTTTGTTCGTTTTTCATAAAAAGATACCATCCACTTTTTCCTTTTTATAACAATTTGATATTTCGGGCGCGTGGTTCTATAAAAAGAACGCGAAATACCATCAGAGGTTCATGTACGTAGGCCGTTGAATCGTGTTACTGTACCCTGGAAGGGACACTTCCGGTATTTTGGCGAATATTTGGGGATAAACGATCAATATCAACAGAAAATATGCCTATATAGTTGAATTATGTTGGAGTCAACGAGGGTGCTGATTAAATTTTTCTCCAAACTCTCATTGGTTTTGATAAAATAAATTATATCCAAATAAATAGCGCCACACGGTACGGTACGTAAATCAGGAAAGTCTTGTTTTGGTAATTATTCTTACCTTTAAATTGTTCATGCAACGATAATCAGCATCCAATAAAGCTTAATACAGTTTAATTGTCATGAAAAGTATTCTCACATAAAACTTAATATATAAAAGTACTTCTTTGCATTGAATAACAGTTTCTTGCACCGATTGTACACTTACTTTTATTATAAAATAAAATGTTATCGTTTTCGTGCACATCATTGTTTTTATATAATTTACAAATATATTTAGGAGGTATGTAAGTTATTTAAGTGAATGAGTTGTCGAATCTTGCACCGTTCTGTGATATTAGTTTTCAGTGCAGCGGCCGGTATGGACTGCTTTCAAGCATGTATAATATTCTTCAGTTTGCCCTCTTGTAATCAGAAATGCAATTACAGTTCACGAAAATGTGGATAATTACACATCAAACGAAACATTCAAGTCATGACACATGGTTTGAAACATGTACATGCAATGTGAATTTTACATTTCCATATACGTGTATGCGTAATCTTAAGTTGACAATGCGCGCAAACAACAAGTCTCCGAAAAAGATACAATGTTGCACACTGCTTCTGTAAACAAGGACGACACCGACCTCAAACGTTCTATCGACCAATCGACGAGCCAGATGCAGTGAGTGACACGCTGAAACAACCGTTCGGGTTTGTGTGCGTGTTCTTTTTGAACACGGCTTGTTGACGCCGTAACGATTTTGATTGTATCATGACTCTAGTCCAAATGGTTCTTAAAATATTGTTGTTTGAAATTTTTAACATATTTTACCCACGTGACCCTGAAAGTAAGTCAAGGTTATTTAAATGAGGAAACTTTATAGCACGCCATCTCAGGTAACTACTGGCCAAATATCATGACCCTAGGTCCCCCAGTTCTTCAGAAGAAGTCATTCAAAAGAAAAAGTTGACGGACGGACGACGGACGATGGACGCCGCAGTACGGCATAAGCACACCTGGCCCTTAGAGCCAGGCTAGCCAAAATATGAGTCCAAGTGCAGTAGAAATGTAGATATATCAATATTGATATGATTTTTACTTGGTCTGTCGTTTCGTATTATTCTGTGATATGCTCACATACAAACTATTAATCACCATGTTTTTCCGATCGCACAGATCAATTGCATATTTTTAAAACCAAACTTAACACGTGGACATTGTTATGTCTGATTGGTTCATCGTTACGATGCTGTAGTATGTTTTAATCGGTTTTATGGTGTTTTTACAGTAACAGTTCCATTCTTCTAGTACCCATTGTATAAAACCTTACTTCTGTGTTTTGTTCGATGGCCGATAGCGGCGACAGAACACTCATATTAGTTAAAAGTGTTTTGTCTAACAGTTTGTCAAAATATAAGTGGGCATTATACACATTTTGTAAAAAAGATATAAACTGTCAAGACACTTTGTCAATTCATGCATGACAGTGTATTCATTTTACTTTCAAAAAATAAACATTGGGGGAGGAGGGAGAGATGGGAGTAGGGTCACATTCCAAGGGCTGAGCAGAACAGAGTATGCTGTTCCAATGAACTTAGTTTACCTTTAACATAAATCACACAGATTAGACGGTATTTTTAACTGTTCATCGTGTACACCGGGAGCAGGATAAAGTTCCTTCTATGCAGTAAGTAAAGCGATGTTGTTTAAAAAGTATTTATTTTATCAAAACTATAATATAATCTTTGACCGTTTGTTTGGTTTGAATGTCACAAAGAGGAGGCTAATAGTTGTTTTAAAAGTTGTTTTGATAGAAATGATGGCACAGTCAAAGTCTGCATACTATTTAACCGTTATGTTTGATATACTCTTTCTTGAACATAACACAGAGAAGTCATGATCTTGATACAAAGAGTTCCTACCATGAACTTAACTGATTTAGGAGATCACGTTATGATACTTGTAATTATTGTAATACTATGTGACTATTGCCATATTATTAGTATACATATCATGTTATTTTCAGTGACATTCCAAATTGCAGACTGAACCTCAAGACAGTAAGTATACTGTAGTGGTATGTAATGTTCAACCCTTCCATTTGATGTGTGCGCTGTATTTCATAATACGCATAATGTATCCACTGATAATAGTATTATGATATACTTGATATATATTACATTTTATCGTTGTGGACCTATGTTTGCTCAGTCTTTAGCTCCTTTGGGGGTCCGTTTACATAAGTATGCTAAATGCTCCAATCCCTTTAGAGAATACAAATAATATAGTAACACACAAAATTTCACGAAATTTATGTCATTAAGCTGATGTTCACAAACTGAAACTTCATATCAAAATTAGTCAAAATCACCCCAATATTTATAGAGGCATCACCGTACTGCCAATTATGTTTAAGTTTTTTAAATGTCTGTGTCCAATAGAATCAGCCCAGTCATGTGTTCTGATACTTTTCCTTACAGATAGCAGTCTGCATACCAAAGTAATCTGTGTAGCCTATGCATAAATTATAATTTAGAAAACGGCTCAAATGTTTACGTTGCATTTTTAGACAGCAACACAACGTTTGACATTATGTGGCACGTAGGTCTCCTTTCAAAATACATGAAATTGGCCTGAGAGTCAAGATATGGGTTATTCTCACAGAAATGTATACACATGTAGAAAGTTCTATCTTATTTATTGGTTTAACATCACAAAGTATCAAAATGGAAAGGGGAATTTTACAAGATGGATCTTTGTCTGCCAAAATGTACCTAATTTATTGAATGAAATAGAAACATGTGGAAAAGGTGCAGTAATTATTGATTAAAAAGTTAACATCCCCACTCAGGCAGAGGATATATGTGTTGTTAGTACAAAGTTTCAAAGTATACAAACAATGGTTGATATATGTGTTGTTAGTACAAAGTTTCAAAGTCTACAACCAATGGTTGATATATGCGATAGCTACAGTAAAAAGTGGAGATTCACTTTCTCGTCCACAAAAAGTAAAATTGTATTGTTGTGAGACAAACGTACATTACATAATATACAAAATGTCTACCTATACAAACGTACATTACATAATATACAATATGTCTACCTATACAAACGTACATTACATAATATACAAAATGTCTACCTGTACAAACGTACATAACATAATATACAAAATGTCTACCTATACAAACGTACATTTAAGGATTGGTTGTCATACTTTTGACGTTTATTGGCGTGTAAACTACATCGGGCTTGCGATATATTGAATGGTGTGCGTTAGCAACAATATTAGTTGTGCAATGTTGCGAGTATTGTTAATTGCTGTTTTAAAACTCTTATACACACCGACTGGGTCAGCGGTAAATTGTTCGGAACAGCCGGGTAGTTTCGCATTCCACAGTCGTTGTCAAGGGCAACCAGGCCGACAAAAACAATAAACAAGAAAGTTCCACAGTAAACACATCAATTTAATAAT